TAGTGGCTTAAGTCCTTGCCTTGTATGCACCAGGACCCCATATATGTGCCAGTTCATATCCCAGCTGCTCCACTTTCCTTCCAGCTCCTTGCCTGTAGCCTGGGAAAGCAGTTGAGGACGGCCCAAAGTCTCAGAACCCTGCACCTGCATGGGAGACCCAGAAGAAGCTCCTGGCTCCTGGCTTTGGATTGACTCAGCTCTGGCTGTGTGGTCACTTGGGGAGTGAACCAGTGGACGGAAGATCTTTCTCTTGTCTCTCCTCTTGGTATATCTGTCTTTCCAATAAAATAAATTTTTTTCTCCTAGATGTCTTGGTCTGGGAAGTTGTTAGGAAATTGGCTATTCTTCGATAAAACAGTATTTTCATTAGCAAAAGCAAAAAAGTTCAAAGAAAGAAACATTCTATGACAAGCCAGGATTAAACCATTTCCAGCAGCCATGGAGCCCCAACTATTTCTTCGCAGACTAAATTTTTACGCATATTTCTCAAATGTCTGTTATTTGTATATTATCTTGACAACATTCACCAACTCTTTCTTTATACTCCCCTTCAATTAACCTTAAACTAACTCCCTTTTCTTTCTCCTTCTGTTTCTCTCTCCCGCTTGTTTCATAAATAAATTAACTTCCTTCTAAGAAATGACATCCATGAAATCATAGGTTCATTGGCTGCCCTTGTGGCAGAATGAATTAAGCCTGTAATGCCAGCAGCCCATATAGGTGCTGGTTCAAGTCTCAGGGGCTTCACTTCCAAACAAGCCCCCTGCTAATGAGCGGGGAAAGCAGAGGATGGCCCAAGTGCTTGGATCTCCGTGTCCACTGTGAAAGACCTGAACGAAGCTCCTAGGTCCTGCTTTCATTTGGGCCCAGCTTGTGGCCACTTAAGGAATGAACTAGTGGATGGGAGATTTCTCTCTCTCTCTCTCCTGCTTTCTGTAACACTGACTTTTAAATAGGTTTTTAAAATGCTTTTGAAAACAAACAAAAAAAAATCACAGGTTCCACGTACCTGCACACCATTAAAGCATCTCCTGGGCTAAGGCATTTGGTACAGCTGCCTGAGACATCTGTATCTCGTGTCAGACGGCCTGTCTTCAAATCCTGACTCTATTCTCCACTCTAGTTTCCCACTAATACACACTCTGGGAACCAGCAGTGATGGCTCAAGTCCGTGGGCCCTGCCTCCCACATGGGAGACACAGATGGAGTTCTTGGCTCCTGCCTTCAGTTTGGCAGAGGCCCAGCTGTCATGGGCATAGGTGGAGTGTGGTAGAAGATGGAAGATCTCTCTCTCTCTCTCTCTCTCTCTCTCTGACTCTCTGCCTTTCAATGAACTAATTAAAAAGAGATGGTTCTCATCCTACACATCACATGTCCAACGTGCTCATGAAATCATCTCCTTTGGCCCCAGTCTGGAGCACCCAAATAATAGAATCTTGAATTTCAGGCTAAGATGTTTTTCAAGTTCCAGATAAACCTTTCCAAACCACCTTGGCACATATGTTCCTCAAAGGATGGATGTTTGAATTATTTCATTTTCTTCACTGTGTTTTGCCATAGCCCTCCCATTTTTATCATACGTAGCAACTGGTTCTGTAACCCAAAACCATAAATGAAGGTTGGAAAATGACCAAGACAGCCTCTGCATTTCCTCGCTGGAGAGATGAGATGAGAATCTTGAGACCACTGACTTATGCTCTTAACTCTGCATAACCCCACCTCCCTCCCACTTTCTGCATGTTGGAATTAGAGCAAATTTCATCTCTCTGCCCTCCTCCCTGAGCCAGCTGTCACCGGGCGTGTGGGGAACAGGAAACAGCATTACACGATTAGCAGGGAGCCTGGCTGTTATCACACTGACTCGGAGAGCCACTGTCCTCGTATGTCACTACGTGCTGCAACCAGGGGACTGGGACTGGGCCTCAAATAAACTCTGTGGACAAGGGGGAAAGAGGCCCAGTTCTGCTGCGCACACATGTAGCATTGCCATTCTGTGGGCACTTGCTCCTGTAGCCTCAAAGAGCCCATGAAGGCCCATGCTGTAGATAAGAACAGTAAGCATCTGTGAGATCCAATCACTTGCCTCATGCGGATGATGGAGGCGAAGAGAGGATTCACTTCAGCACCTCTGTAGGCGCCGCTCTGCTTTACTGCCTCCCTTTTCCTAAGGACAACTCCAAAGGACTAGGCTGCAGATCCTGCCTGCTCCTGCTGATCTGGGTGGCCGTTCAACCGCTTGGTGGCCCAGCACAATTCCTAACATGGGCTGCAGACACACGAGGCTCTCACATGTGGTTCTGACCAACATGCAGGTTACTGGGCACCTACTGGCACCCAATCACCATCGGCCTCCTTCCTGCCTTTTGGGGACCTGCAGATACTGACCAACCAGTGAGCTCAGCCAGGTCAGACCTCCGACTCACCTGCCTAAACAAACAGCTGTATTCCCAGAAGCTTCTGGAAAGACTCACAGCTGTGCCACCCCACCCATCTCTCCACCCATCATCTGTCCAATCAGTAACCAGAGCACAGGACCTGGGACTGACCAGGAGATGTGCCCAAGGGGGAGCCTGGTGAGGGACATAGACTGACCATGCAGTTTGCAACCAAGAGAAACTTCTTGGAAGAAGAAAGAGCCCCAAATAGGCCCAGGATGGGCTAAGGGGAGCAAGACAACACAGAAGGCTCAAGGCAAACAGACCGTGCGTCCAGAAGGAACAGGAAGAACACAAGTGTCCTGCATACAGAGGAACGGTGGTAACAGACAAAGCCCAAAGGGGGAAACCTCACAGGTCACAGCCGAGCAGCTGAAGGAGCGGGACCTCACCCCAAGGTGAACACACAGCAGAGCAACAGAGCAACCTAGTCTGATTTGTGTTTGGTAAGGATTTGCTTGGCAGCTACTGGAGAATGTCCCAAAAGAGAAAAAGATTAGACCGGGCCTCAATAAGATGGGAAGCCACGGTTGGTGAGGACACTGGTGGATCCAGGTAGCATGGCAGGAGGAATGCAATGAGATGTGAGATGTGCCAAAAAGGCCAATCAGTAGGACCTGGCCAGCTAAGTCCTACCATTGCCTCCTTGGACACAGTGGTGCCCACTCTGCCCCTTTCTGTGCAGTACAGACTTTTCCCTGGAGGATGGGCAAGTGACTGGGCAACAGCATGCCCTGGTGCAAGGAGACATCAGGCCGGCAAAGAAGTCTGAAAGCTGCAGGTGTGAGATCCTGGCACGCTCAACTGAGGACCACCTCCAAGCTAAGATGGTATTTTGTCCTCAGTTTTTCCATGCACCATAGGACCCAACTCCAAATCTCAGACACTTACAGCCAAAAACACTACAAGCACCACTTTAAAAATCATGCGATAGGGCCCAGCACGGTAGCCTAGTGGCTTAAGTCCTTGCCTTGCATGCGCTAGGATCCCATATGTGCATGAGTTCATATGCCAGCTGCTCCACTTCCCTTCCTGCCCTCCACCTGTGACCTGAGAAAGCAGTCGAGGATGGCCCAAAGCCTTGGGACCCTGCACCTGCATGGGAGACCCGGAATAAGCTCCTGGCTCCGGATCGGCTTGGCTCTGGATCGGCTTGGCTCTGGCCATTGTGGCTGCTTGGGGAGTGAACCAGCAGATGGAAGATCTTTCTCTGTGTCTCTCCTTCTCTGTGTGTATTGCCTTTCCAATAAAAATAAACAAATCTTATGCACAGGTGCCCCTGAAGCCAACAACCTCTTTGATTGTTAAAAGCAGGAAACATTAGGGCTAGCATTTGGTGCCACAGTGAGGACCCTTCCTGGGATACCCACATTCCACTCTAGGGTGTGTGGGGTCTGGTCCCAGTTGTACTCTCCTTTCCAGCTCCCTGCTATTAGGCACCCCGGAGGGCAGCAGGTGGTGGATCCACATGGCAGATCTGGATCAAGTTGTGAGATCCCAGCTTTGGGCTGGCCCAGCTCTGCTTGTTTCGGGCATTTGGACACTGAACCAACAGGTGAACCATTTATCTCTCCGTGTTTGTGCCTTTCAAAAAAATAATTTTTAAAGCATGCATAATTGGATGTGGTTGATCTGAAAAAAAAAAATTGACATGGCATATTTTTCTAACCGCCATGTTGAAACCACAAAAGTGCAGCCTTCCTCCAGCCTAGGTCTCTGACTTTCTGTGAATAAAGACATCCATTTACCTGACTCCATTTTCACATCTTCCAGAAAGGATAAGGAAACACATCCTACATGGCCTCATTTTATTTTTGAAACAGTAACCCAGAAAAATGGGGCAGGGAGAGGAGGAGTAGGAGGAGGGGGGCGGGAACACTTCTTGGTCAAAGGAATCAAGATGTATCTTAATTCTTTTGCCATATGGTTCGTTATTTTGGAAGCCCATGAAGAGGTAGAGAGAATGCTTGACAACATTGGCAATGCTTGTAAAATCCTTCCCAATCAGACCGAATTCCCACTGTGGACATTTGCTACAACCCCTTCTATCCGTCATATCAGCAACTGCGACCACAGGAGATGTAAAAATACCGAGCCATTTTTAGCGCCAGCTTCAAATCCCCCAGGGCCCTGGACACCACATGGCGTCAAGTTTGTCTGTATTTCACCCCCAGGAAATCAAGTCATTAACTTCTCTTTCATTTACCACGAGCTGTTGCCAAAAAGAATAGCATTCATCGGAAAGGGGGAGACTTCAACAGCAGAAAGGCAGCAAAGGAGAAGCAGAATGTGGTAGTTGTTGCTGCCTAGACAGACGGTGAACCCCAAACCCCCTTGCACCCCTCGCACCTTCTCCCGGCTGGAAGATCCACCCTCCAGGTGGCCCACCATGATGTCACCCACCCAAGAGGGTCATCAGAAAGTGGGACTGGAGGAGGCTCATTCTCCCCACGTCTGTCTGTATTCCTGGAGCCCTGTGGGCAGGAAGCTGGGGGTAGGAGACGGTGCAGGCTCACCTGCAGAATTCGGGGGATGTTTGCAGAGGAGGGGATGGGGAACCCCTACCTTTGCATCCTGGACATTCTGTGCAGCTCCATGTCATCACTGCCCCGGAATCCTTTGGCGAAGGGATTGTTCTCAATCTTCAATTGCGTGATCTGAGGGAAGCAGAGGGGGCCAGTTGGTTTTCACTGGATTGCCACGAAAGGACCTCGGGACATGTGCTAATGAGAAGTGTCATGGAAACGCAGTCTCCAGCCGCCAAAAGCAGCAAATTAAGGCAGGCCCGTCAACGGACCCAGCACTTCATTCACGAGGAGGCTTTGAAAACATGCCCCACATCAGACTACTTTTAAAAATGGGGAACAAAACCTGGTCTTGGTTTGCCCATTAATTGGAGTCATACTCTGAATCATTCCAGACTGGGTTTTTTTTTTTTGAGAGGTTCGTTTTGCTTTTTTTGTTTTTAATCTTTGGCATTTTGTGTTTCAAATATGATCTGGGTCTCCACATTTGGTTCCCCCTCCCTTCGGAGCCTGCGCACACTGGCCCAACTCCTAAGCATCCGGCTGTAGGGTGGCAACCTCCACGTGGAAAAGCTGGCCCCAGCATGTGTTTCTGGGAAAGCATGACTTGATTATTGCTTTCAAACATTCTCTCCTGCCTCACTGCATGCTCATGTCATGGTTTTGCAGGCAGAACTGGTGAGCTCCAATAGAAAATGGTGCCAATAAACCCCAGGGACTTGGTCCTGGCACAGTAGCCTAGTGACTAAAATCCTTGCTTTGCATGTTCTAGGATTCAATATGGGCTCAAGTTCATATCCTGGCTGCTCCACTTCCCTCCAGCTCCCTGCTTATGTCCTGGGAATACAGTCGAGGGTGATCCAAAGCCTTGGGACCCTGTGCCTGTGTGGAGACCTGGAAGAAGCTCATGGACCATGGCTTCAGATTGGCTCAGCTGTGACTGTTGTGGCCACTTGGGCAGTGAACCAGTAGATGGAAGATCTCTCTCTCTCATCTCTCTCTTTCTCTCCTTCTCTCTGTAAACCTGACTTTCCAAGAAAAAATATTTATTAAAAAAAAAAAAACGACTTGGGACACCTGCCTCCTGTATTATAATAGTCTCAACTACCCCACTTTAAACTAAACTTCTTACTCAATGGCATCTCAAAAGGCAGCAGATGGTGCCCCAGCTACTGGGTTCCCTGCCACTGATGTAGTAGACTCAGATGCAGTCTCAGCCACCTGGCTTTCACCTGGCCCAGCCCTGACTGTTTCAGACATTTGGGGAGTGTGTCAGCAGGTGGAAGATTTCTCCCCTACCCTTTCCTCTCTCTCCCTGTAAAATAAAATGAAATTTATAAATTGTAAAGGAAGTCCATGATGTGATCTATTACAAGCTGATCAATAAACCCCAACCTACCAGAATGATAACAATCACAAGCACTTTGAAACTTCATGAAAGAACGAAACTAAGAGAAGTTCACTTGAGTGCACAAAGTTTGGAAAGTCTTGTGTGTCTTTTCCTGAATACGCATCACCATGAGCTTTTGGGAGACTCCTTGCACACAGTAACTATAGGTCCCTTTAACTTCCCAGGCGAGAAGACAGAGGAAGGCCTTGGAAGTTTGCATTGCCATGTAACCCAGCTGAGTCATTGAACAGGCCTAAACTTTTAATTTAGACGACACATATTATATCAATGCGGATATGGAGTAGCAGGTCCAAGTGACAGAATGTATACATGTGGAATATTCTAGAAGCATTTGTAAAATGCTGCCCAGAGGGGAGTGGGGGAAGTCTGAATTTTTGCACCAGAAATCTCAGTGTGGCTCCAACTTGAGTCCTGCCAGGCTGCTCTTCCTTACCATTGCCTACCTGCCAAACACCTGTTCAGGATCAGCCTGACAGTTATATGCAAATCAAACCACTTTTACGTAAATTCACTTCACCCAGGAATAGGATATCGCTTTGCTGTGTGACGAACTAGAATCACTTGCAAGTCAACAAAAAAAGAAAGCAGTCATATTACATGCCTTCATCTGATAGCCATGGAGAGCTGCAATCACGGCGCAGACCTTCTCTTTGCTGCCAAGAGAGGCAGGCACCTTTACAGGCGTATTTAACACAAACTAGTCCTCAGCTAAGACTTGGCATTGGAAAGACAGTTGAAAAGAGAACAACTTTCTAGGACTCCATCATATTCAAGTTCCCCCTAAAAATCATCTCAGCTGCTCCAGTAGTGTAAATACACTTTCAGAGTTTCTGTACAAGGGTAACTAATGAATGCTATCCCTCTTTTGTGCATCTGAGGCATGCTTATATTTCCTGATTTCTTCACAAGATGCCTGTAAGGATTCCTTCCTTTTTAGACACTTGCAGAACAAATGTAAAATCATTCGATGTACAGCCAGAGCAAAATACATGTCCCTGATATTTCTTAAAGGTGAATTTATTTCTATTGGAAAGGCAGTTCTACAGAGAGAAGGAGAGACAGAGAAAAAAAGATCTTCCAACTGCTGGCTCTCTTTCCAAGTGACCTCAACAACCAGAGCTGAGTCGATCTGAACCCAGGAGCCAGGAGCCTCTTCCAAGTCTCCCACATGGGTGCAGGATCCCCAAAGGACTTGAGCTGTTGCCAGGCCCACTATTATTTTTTTTTGAAGATTAATTTATTTATTTTTACTTGAAAGGCAGAGTTTCAGGGATGAGGAGAGAGAGAGATTGAGAGAGAGAGAAATCTTCCATCCACTGATTCACTCCCCAAATGTCTGCAATGGCCAGAGTGGGTTTGGGGTGAAGCCAGAAGCCAGGAGCTTCTTCTGGGTCTTTCATGCAGGTGTAAGGGTTCAAGCATTATATGGAATGCTAGTATTAGCGGCAGAAACCTAGTGTGTTACATTACAACACTGGCTCCATCACTAATACTTTTAAATATGTGATCTCAGGAGTTGGTGTTGTGGTGCAGCAAGTTAAGACACTGCCTACAATGCCAGCATTCCATATTGAAGAAGCAATTTGAGTCCCAACAGTTCTACTTCAGATCTCTGCTCCCTGACAATGCTCCTAGGAAAGCAGCAGAAAATGGTCCAAGTGCTAGGGTCCCTGAATCCACATGAAAGAATTCAGATATCTTGTATCATTGTAGCCTATCCTGTTATTGTGGGTACTGGAAAATGAATGAGTAAATGCAAGAATGATATCTTTCTCTCTCTCTCTCTTTCTGTCACTTTGTTTTTCAAATAATTACATAAATATAAATACTTTATATTGGGGCTGGCATTGGGGTACAGTGGGTTACATTGCTATTTATGATGCCACCATTGCATATGAACCCCGGTTCCAATTCTGGCTGTTCCACTTCCTATCCAGTTCTCTGATAATGTGCCTGGGAAAGCAGTAGACAAAAGCCCAGGAGCTAGACCCCTGGTGTACCCAAGAGGAGGTCAGGCTCCTGGCTTTAGCCTGCCCCAGTCCTGGCCATATGGACATCTGGGAAGTAAACAAACAAATGGAAGATTTCTCATCTCTCTGTCTCTGCCTCTCTTTCTGTCAATCTGCCTTTCAAAAAAAATTTTTTTAATCAATCTTTAAAAAATTAAAAACAGGATTTGAACTAAGTGACACTGTAGAAGGGGTAGAACTCTGGAGGCAGTGAACAGAGCCCTAGTTGCCCGGCACCTAGAGGAGGGGGCATGAACCAGAAGAGCCACAGAGGACTTTGAGGACAGCGAGATCACCTGCATAAAACTGCATGTCATATCTTACCGTCCAAACCCACAGAAGCGCAAACCAAGAGGGAACACAACTGCCAACTGTGGAACGCAGGTGATAATGATGTGTCAGTGTCAGTTCATTGAGTATGACGAACATCCCTTTTAGTGGGAGATGCTCTGCTTGTGGGCATTGAATGGGAATGGGATAAAATTCTGCTTCCCACTCAGCATTCCACTGTGAACGCAAAAGAACTCATTTCAAAATCTAGCTTAAAATAGTTTTATGGGTGGGTGCTGTGACAGATGTACGAGCTAAGCTACTGCTTGGGTTGCCCGAGTCTCATAGTGGAGTGACTGGGACTGATGGAAGCTGCGTTGGAAGCAGCTTCCTATTAACATGTACCTGGGAGGCAGCAGGTGACGGCTCAAGTATCTGGGCCCCTGCTACCCAAGGGGGAGACCTGAATAGAGCTTCTGGCTCCTAGCTTCAGCCTGGCCCAGTCCCAGCTTTTGCTGACATCAGGGAGGTAAACCAGTGAATGTACAATCATGTATGAATGTATGTGTGTGTGTGTGCATGTGTGTGCGTGTGTGTGTATCACTCTGCTCTTGAAGTAAAATAAGTCTCTAAGAAAATTATTACCCTTGGGAAATGTTAGCATACGGGCTTATGTGCACATGAAAATGTCCGTCTGATTTTGTGTCTGTTCACTTGCTCCCCCACTTATAAAACTCCCCCACCCCTTCTCTCGCAAACACACACCTGGCCTTCCGTGTTCTGCCAAAAGCCTTCACTGAGTCTGACCTCTGTGTGCCATACAAATGCACTCTCTCCAAATCAACATAAAACCGGATATCCGGCAAGGGGAGGGAGGGGTGGAGCTGGGAGAAACAAATATATAAATGCCAGCTCCAAGGAGTGAGACAGAGGTTGTAAAAATTAATGAGAATAATTGTTGGGAATTCTTGCTTTTGAAACAAAAAAAAAAAATTAAAAAAAAAAAAACAACCTCATGAGGGCCAAAAATCTTAATTATGTCTCTCCATTAAGGGTTCATTTCCTGGTCCCCACCAGCAAGCTCATACCTCATAAATACAGGCTCCATGCACAATGATTTAAGCAGGAGGAAAATGGCGTTTAATGGCAGAGCAAGTTAATATGGGGGGATAGACCTATGTGCATACACGGCCATTGTTGCACGAGCCGGGAAATGAAACGATCACGTGGCCCGCTTTTTAACACCTAAATATTTCTAGGGCTTGCCCCATGAGCTGCTGACAACCACAGTGAAAACCTTACAGAAACCTGTTTCACAGAGCGGCTGTCGCTGGGGAAGATGCGGATTTTGAAATATCTTTTTCAAGCTGTCAACCATCTGGGGAAATAACTCCCAAATCCAGCTTGAGAATCACAGCTGCACTGGGGCGAAAAATATGTCTGGTTGTTCAGAGCTCTGCCATCTCTGGGAAGGCAAATATAGACGAGTTCCCTCATGCCTGCTACCCCCACCAGGTACCTGCACCCAGGTGCAGAAAAGATGGTTCTGAAGGTACAGAGTTCTTGGGCCCGAAACGTTGGTGGTTTATTTTGTCCCAAACTGTGCCAGTGATTGAATCCCAGGCACTGCTTTTCTTTCCCTGCTCATATATCCAAAGCAAAATGCTAGACAAATAGTCCTTGAATTGGCGACATGATCAGAGAATGAGCCAACCCAACCACAAAGACTAACATTTGTCCTTAGTTCCCAACCACACTCATAAGAACTGACTTAAAATCTAAGTCTTTCAGATGCTAAACAGCCAAGAAATTACATGGAATAGGCACAGAGTCTGCAATTCGGATTAGGTCGCCTTGTTAAAAGAAAAACCATCAGCTAAGTGGCCCACCAATGGTCTGATCAATCCTTACTAGCATTTGGCACCAATTCTATGCCAGGCCCTGCACTATACATTTTCCATGGATTAAGTCACTTAATTGTCACGACAACCCTATAAGCAGATGTTCCCATTAGTCCCATTTTACAGATAGTGAATGCATCCCATCCTATGTCCCCAAAGTCAAATGGGTTTGAACCCAAGCAGTTCGACCCTCGGGTGCACCCCTATTCCCTAAACAGCGGGGAGTACAAATTCAGCTGGCTTTTACCCATGAAGTCAGAAGTTGCAACAGCCGGTCCAGGTGGGACAATAAAGTAGCGAGACTGAGTCCACAAATCACAGGCAACCCTGGCACGCTTATTTAAATCACACATCATATATCCACACAGGGAGTGTGTGCAGGAGCCATGGGGCTGGCTGGAAAAGTGCACTGCTTGGCCCCACTCCTGACAAAGTAAAGAGGTGCCTCTGCGTAAGAAGCAGGAAGCCCCGCGCAGGGGACAGTCCCAGAAAGGGGCTTCCCATAAGGCCCCTCTTCCAGATGACAAAGGACTCTGACAGGCTGGCCAGAAAGACTCAGCTCAACCGGCCTCCCTGGCCCAGACAGCAAACCAGAACACAATCCCTGCATGTGTGGCCACCATGTACACACATGAAGACAAACATGTTCACACCCATGCACACACAGTCCTCCCAGACTGCGGTCAGCAAGCACACGCACAGGCCTCCTTGGGCAGATACCCGGAAGGCACTGGGGGGAGAAAAATGTTCAAGACAGCCATTGGAGTGGGTGGGGGTGTGGCGCTGGGATCGATTCATGCAGGGCTGTGCTGACCATATCCTTCCAATGTTGCACAAGACTGTGTGACAATGACGCCTCCGTAAAGGCATAAACAACGCAGTAAAGACAGCAGGAGCTCCCTCCCCCGGACACGCCCACCATATCTAAGATCCCTGTGACCCAAAACAGAGAAATTGATCCCAAGGATGTAGACACCACGTGTTTTCTTGGCAGATAATTTTCATTCATCCACCACTTCCTGTCCTCTCTGCATGAACTTAGGTGGGGGGAACTGACATATTTTTATGTTCCCTCTGTCAGGTGCAGACCCTGGGAGCCTCCAAGCACACACACACACACACACACACACACACACACACGCACCCAAGCTTCCTCCCTGCTCTTTTCCCATTTATTTTTCCTGTGATCATCACCACAAAGTTAAACACAGGTTTACAGCAGCCACAGAGGGAACGGCTGTCTGGAAGCCAGACTCCAATTGACCTGAAATAGTTTGTACAACTTCCAGGGCGTTCATTCCTCTTCGCCATTTTGCTCTTGTGGGTTCCACCAGCTGAGGGCAGAGGTGGGAGTGGCCGGGGGTGGGAGGAGGGATGGGACTGCCTACTCCTCCTTGTTGGTTCTAAAGTCTCCCGTTTCCGGAAGAGTGAGTTTTCCTCTAGAGGGAAGGCGACTCCCTCCGGATCTGGGTTCCCAGACAGGCTAGTCCTTGTGGCCTGGAAGGGACCATCCATCACAGAGTGGCCTGGTCACTGACAACCTGAATTCGAAGTTCTCTCACAGCATTATGTAACAGCCCCGGCCCCAGTGGAGACCTTATCTGCCACGCAGCCTGCACTGAAATGACCTGCCTGGGATAACTAGAGGCTGTGGGACACTAAGCCTGCTTCTGATCCTTCTCTGTCCTCCACACAGCTCGTCCCTACCCTGATTTAGCTGGTAGGGACAGGGGCTGTGACAGCAGGGGCACTCCCCGGCCCCCACAACATCCATCAGATCAGCTGCCACATGGCTTGTGCTCACCAATCCCTCACCACCACCACCTCCGCACACACACACACTTTGCCACCTGCCCCAACGCCATTTGAGATACCTCTAAAAGGTAGCCTGGAGGAAAGGCGGACCCTAACTCCACAAGAGAAGGTGGCCCCATGAGAGGCCATCCCAGGCCTATGATGGGTGGTCCCAGGCCCCAAGCACAGACCCCAGAGCCAAAGGCACACAGTCCATGGGTCCAGCAGGATGCCTTGTTCCACCATTTGAGTGTTAGAACCATCTATGGATGAACCAGTTTGTTTCTTATGCGTGTGTGTACACAGCGATACTTAAACCAGTCTGTGGAAGATGCAATCAAAAGAGACATCTATTTGGACGTAAACAATACCAAAACCCATGCATACTCAGATGTGTGTGTGAGACAGAGAGAGAGAGAGAGATGTGCTCAAGCTCACCCCACACTTGCGAATCCGATCAAACATTTGCAGCCCGTAATTAAGGCCACAGCCCATGGAGGACGTGGGTGCTGCTGCAGCAGCTTGGTAGAGAAACGCCCTTGAAGTCCAGCGGAAAGAAACCCCTGTGAAGGAGTAAGGGAGCTGGCAGCCCCAGCGCTGCTGGGTTCCTGCACTTGGGATTTACCTTGTGGTTCTGGTAGGAAGTTACGGCGATAAAGGCTGTCTCAGGAAAGACATGAGTGCAGAACGCAGTGTTTTTCGAGCCAAATCCATTATTTTCGTCCGCCTTCACGATGTGTAATCGGGGCTGGTATTTGTGCATGGAATTGAGAATAATCTAAACAAAATAGAGACAACGAGACTGTAAGAAAAATCCAAACTCCCTTTGTTTCCAGATAAAACCCTTGCTCCTGGCTCACACCCACTGACCCTGCTGAAGTAGCCTTGTTAGGAAGCCTCTCAAAAAATATTTTTCCCTCCTCTTTCGAAAAGAGGCCAGTGATTTCATTAAACAGAAACATTTCAAAAAAAAATGACAATTTCCAACTGAAAAATCCAGGGTAATATTCCAGGAATCTACCCAAGGCACATAGAGCAGTAAATCAGAATTTCTTAATAAAGTTCGCTTAATAAATTAACTCCCTGCATCGGGACACAGGAGCCTTGCAGGTCTGGAGTAAGCGATGGGGAGGGCTTGAGGAGGGAGGGTGAGGAGGGGTCTGCAATGGAGAAATCTTGAGTGACAATTATGGGTGAAGGGGTAGACACGAATAGACCAACCTCCAAACAGCCCGTGCCCCACCCCCAAACTCTGAACTATGTGAAGGAGTTGTCTGCAAATTGAGGGGAAAAGCACCACACCAGCCAATGAAGACCATTCTCTTTATGAACAGACTGGCTCCAGGGAGTGAACGAAAAGAGAGGCAGGGAGAGAGAGGATGGGGGGTGGGGGGTGGGAAGGATCCACCACCAACCAGAGTTAGGCATGGGGTTGCAGGGGAGGTTCGGCTTTGGGTTAGAAAGTTCTCCCTTCTTCCTCTGTTCTCCACGCCGGAGAACCCTAACCTTTACTATTACAAATATGATGTCGGTGAGGTTGATGCTTAGAAGGGGAGGAAGCGGACCTCTGGCTCCTGCCCCTCGCCAGCCAGGAGCATTCAAAGAGAAGTGCGGCGACACTGCCACACTGGGGTTCTTGGGCTGCCAGACCCCTGACTTCGGAGGCTCCTAATTACCAAAACGTCTGGTCAGGTCCCTGCCCTCCGTTGCAGCTGCGCGTCCCCGGGCGCGCACGGCCAGCCAGCCCCGTCTCAGTGTCTTGGATGGTTTGCCTTGATGCCCCGGGGCAGGCCCCTCGAACCAGTCCCGGAGTCCGTCCGGGACGCAGACAGCAGTGGGGGTATTGGGAGGAGGGGCGAGCGGCTCCCTGGTTGGGGGTGGGGGCAGGCTCTGCAAACCCGGGCAGGGCAGTGAGGCTCTAATCTCGGGCGGCCAAGCCCGGCCGCCTCCTCGGACCGATAGCGACGCCGACCCGGGCGGCGGTGGCGACAGAGAGACGCAGCGGGGCCTCGCTGGCCGCCACAGCCCCCTACCCCGCGCGGCCATCGGCCCGGCTTAGCCAAATTTGCTTTGACGGCTGGGGACAGTATGGAGACAACGGTGCGAGGGCGATCTAATGGCTCCTAATTTCATCAGAGCAGCTCTGGACCAGAAATCCCGGAGCTGGGGCTAGGAATGCGCCGCAGCTCGGAGCACCTCGGGGGCCCATTCACTGGTTGGGAAGGACTCTCTTAGGAAGCCCCAAGCACTTTACTGTGCACTTTTCCCAGGCATCCTCCAGAAAAGCTAGAGGGAATTCTAGCAGCAGACATGGGGAATGCAGAGGGAGGTGCTCATATTGAACATCGCACAGGGAACTAAACGATCTCATTTCCCTTATGTTTAAACCAAAGGGTGTTGGCCAAATAGGTATTCATCAAACACTGCCCAACTCCAGGCTTACTTCTACCCTAGCAAAAATACTGACTGTGGGGAAGTCTTTCCCTTGGGGAGCCCCCTTGTACCTCCTGGTAGCAGAGTGAGGGAGGGAGTGGACACTCTGCCTCTTGGGGACCCCTCTTCACCACCCCTCTACAGAGCACAACACCACAAAGCCCTCACTCAAGAGTCCTGCGGTCTCCAGCCCGCCCCAGATTTCCTGGGTTCAGGACTTCATCTCCAAGCTTCACAGGAGCACACTGTTCTGTTTGCACAAACTATCCTCACCCAGACTCTCCCTCCCCTTAAACTGGGGACCAAGTGCATCCAAGCCGCCTCTCTTGCAAGAAACAATCGTCCATCCATCAATGGATCACCCCTCTCGGAACCAGAGGAACCTGGCCCGAAACCCCTAATCCCAAATACAAGCTGTATGGCTTTGGGCAAGTCATTCCTTTCTGAAGACCTTCCCTGGACCAAGACTGCATGGTCGTGGCCATACTCCCCAACCGGCCGGAGGAGCCCGACATGATGTATTCGGAGCCTGTGTCCTTTTCCAGTGAGCATTCCCAACAAGAAGCGTTGAGGACACTTTTTGCAAACTTCAGTGATTTCCTTGGGAGGAATGGGTGATGCCCAACTGAGAATTCAACCAAACCTATGCATTTTCTAGGTCACCTGACAGCTGCACAGAGAGCATAGTGCATGCCCCCTTTGGGGGCCAAACTAATTCTGGCTTTAGGACCCTGGTCTAAGCTTGCCTCTTTAAGGTACAGTGAGGGGGAGGCAGAAAGCCAGCCAGGGGAATAAACAGATCAGCCCAAGAGCGAGGGTGCCAGAGCTTACCCTGTGGACTAGTCCCCATCTGTTGGAACAAGGAGGGCTCACCAGAAAGGTGTCTGTCTGGTTGGGCAGGAGGTGGAAGGAAAGGGAGGTACCTCCTGGGAACCCTGCTGGGCTTCAGTCTCCCTGTCCCAACCACAGACGATGTGATTGAGGGGCCAGGTGGGGCACCCAGGCCAGAAAGAAGCAACTTGAGTCATCTCTCATTTTACCCTCTGGATAAAAGCAGAGTTGGCGCTAGCAGATGCAGCCAGCCCCAGCCAGCCAGTCCCAGCCAGCAGGAATGAGGCAGTGTCTCCAAATGGCTAGGAAGGACAGACCCAGAGCAGAGAAGGGAGGGCTAGCAGAGGTCTGTAGGCCTTCAGGCACAGGAGAAGGAAGCAGGCAGAAAAAGAAAGCAAAAGGAGACAGGAAGAGAAATAAAAGGAAAAAGCAGGGAGACAAAGAAAGAGGAAAGACCTCTAGATTGGAGAGGTAGAGGAAGAAAGACGCTAAAAGGGTGGGGATGGAGCAAGGAACAAATAAAGAGGTGGGAGCCTGGAAAGGCCTAAGCTCAGTGGGAAGGAGGAGAGAGAGCAGGGGCCCTGGTACTCACATGCCCAAACGGGTCCAGGTGATTGTTGGTGAGCTTGAGCTTCTGGAAGGACACAAGCTGCCGCATCCAGTGTGCCCCAGTGGCAGGCGAGTCTGGGTGCACGTAGAGGCGACCTGGCATGGCAGGCTCGGCTTTGCCGGTCACAGACCTACACCGAGAGAGATGTGACCCTGCCGGGACCCAACAGGAGCCGCCCCACAGCACACCTGCTGGTTCAGGGCTGTTTAGGCTGATCTGGGACTATCCTGAAAACAGCGTGCCCACCCCCAGCCCCCGTGCGACCCAGCCAGGTGCCCCAGAGCAGTGTGTGGCACCAGCGCTCTGATCTGCTCAACAGGGAGCACCAAGGGTCTCCCAAACGTTTTTCCTACCCACAAACACTCTGCAGGCTCTGGCTGTCTGGAGGCACAAGTTTTGAAATCTGCTTTAAGGGCTTTCAAAAGGGGCTTCCCCAGTCCAGTCCCGTCCTGGCACTATTGGCAGCCGCCAGAGCAATCCACCCAAAGAATGGGCCTCTCCTCTTTCGCCACGTTAACTACAATACCAGGGGCCGATTTTGCAGTTTCATAAAAAAGGGCTGTTCAAAGCAGGTTCACTCATAAAAAAAAAAAAATCACTGTAAATGGCTTTATGCTACCCCCTCTCCTCCAGAAATACCTCCGGCGCTCAGGAACAACACCCCTTTTAGAAATCCACCACTCGGTACTATCACAGATACTGGTACCTCATTTCCTCTGAGCCTCAGCTTTCTAGTCTATAAAATGGGGACATAATGAAGAGTTTCCTTCTCAAAGTGATTAGCAGAAGGTGAAGGGAGGGAGCCAAGCAGGCCTCCTGGGGTGCACAGCATATGCAATGGGACCCTGGAGGGCGGCTGCTTCCCCCGCTGCCCTCCCCCACCTGCCCTGCTGGAGCTTACCATTTGTTATCTGCAAACTTGTATCTGTGGTCATCTGCGGGGACAATGTCCATGAGAAGGATGTATTTTGTTTTAGGATTCAGGCCGGTTACCTTCACTTTGTAGCTGGGGAACATCCGCCTGAAAGAGAAGGAGCGGGAGAAGGTGAAGGGGCCGACGGGGAGGGGTGCCCAGGGCAGCAGCATCCTGAAAAAGTTCTGGGGGAGGGGGCGGAGTGTAAGAGAAAGCTGGCCCCACTCCGCTCCCACTCGGATCCATTCCGGGTTTCCCTCGGAATTGTGGGGAGGAGAGAGAGGAAGGGATGAAGGAAGGAGGGGACCGCTGGAGGTACCTAGGACAAAAACCAAAACCAGGAGGCCTGGGCTTCCAGAAAATTTGTTTCTAAGAGACCCAAAAAGGGACCCCTGCTATAAACTCTGTAAACTCAGACACCCAGATTTTGGGGCAAGAGGCTTCTTAGTTATAAAGCTGGCCTCCTACCCTATCCAACCACTGACCTGTCCCGTGGACACTCAAGTGTGCACGTCCCAGGGCCAGCACATCACGCGCCCCCCTGCGCCCTGGCTTCTCTGCAGCTAACGGCTCTCTGTAGCTAACCGTGCGGGGCAAGCGGCTGCAGAAACTGATCGCTGGCACCTTAACCGGGTCGGTGCGCCAACAAGGATCCCTAAGCAGGAATTTAATCTTAAATGTCCACAACTTTTCCCTGTGGCGCCTAGCAGTAATCCGTGGAGAGGCGAAACTCCTTGGCCGTCGGCAATGAAATGCCAAAGTCGCGTGGATTTAGTTTGGGCCAGAGCTGGGACCCGAACTCCCAATCTGCAGGAAGCCAAGGCCACGGGGCTGCGGCGGTGCAGCCGCCTCTCTGCTGCATGGCACATTGCAAGGTCCCAGGCCTTGCAAAGGTCGGGATGGGCCTGGGACGCAAGAAGAAGCTGCTGGAGCCTGCTCCACACAGCGCTGGATCGGAAGCGAGAAATCAAAGCCTCTGCCTTCCAGCCACCGCCGGGAGGCCTCGGAGCTTAACCGCAGCCAGGAGAGCGCGCCCGGAGGCGGAGGCGCGGGAGGCTTCGCAGGCCTTTTATAGTGAAATCCTCCGGCCTCCAGAGCGGAGGAAAGGCGGCCACGGCGGGGTCTCTCCTAACTCCAGGACTGGGGAGAGGACCTCGGGAGCTCGTTGGTATAAACAGAACGCGCTTCTCTGATTGAATCGGGCTTCGGGCCGAGCAGGGGAGCCAACTTTGTTTAATTTCAAATAATAATAAATGTCACTGTTGTCGGTTTATGGCGGGAGGCTTGGGCCTGAGAACATGGGGCGGTGGAGGGCGGGCTCCACCCTCCCTATTCACACACTCGGTGGCATGGGCCTCCCTGGCTTCCCTAGCCTGTCTTTGCGGCAGATCCACGTGGAAAACCCACCGGGCAGGACCCAGGAAAGAGAGAGAGAGGTGTGCCCAGGCGCTGAGAGCCCAAGCTGCCCCCAAGCTGCCCTCCCCTCCCCCAGGAGGCCGGCGTGTGTAGCTAAAGCTTCGGCGAGCTTCTAAGGGGAGCGCCGCGGTGAATGCCTTGGCGAAGCTGCCGTGTTTATCGGTGTCTGTATATAGAGCCGGCCCAAGCCCCGGTTCAGTTTCAAAGGCTTCGCCAGCGTTCTATAAACAGTGAAAGAAGGTAGCGCATACATTCAACAATTCTGAGTTTGGCAATCGGGTGGGACGCTGGAGCCACTCCAAGGTCAGACAGGGTGGGGATGGGGGTGGGGGCGCAGGATCAAGTCAAGGACCTGTGCAACTTAGAGCCTCGGCTGTGTGTGTGTGTGTGTGTGTGTGTGTGTGTGTGTGTGTGTGTGTGTGTGTGTGTGCCGCTTGCCTCTCCCTTCCCCTGCCCTCCTTTCTCTCTTTGCAAATCCACCCAGAGAGCTCACCCTCACAAACTTGGCATTGTTTTTATCCAGGAGCTGGCAGAAATGCAGAGTTCCTGGGATGACAGTCTGGGGACTTTCTCTATGTAGCTGGAGACCCTCTCCCCATCAGAATCCCCCCACTCTCTTCCCCTCGTCTGTGGCCTTTCCCCAGCCACCGTCTCCCCTATAGCAGCTGGTGCGCCAGGGTTCCCTGCCGCTGGCCAAGTGCCTCACCTCCCCGCCTTGGTGATTATCATCTCCGTGCCCACTTCATGGAATTTCAGCCACAGCTCTCTTTCGTGGAGGAACACCTTGATCCCTTCCATGCCCTGCAACAAGGAGAGAAAAAGTCACCCACTGTGTGACACGCTTCTGGGGCACTGTGGAGATGCCTTCCCTAAACAATCCCCAAAGGGTGAGCAGTGCCTCTGGCCCCACTGCAGGGTGCCTCTGGCGCCTTGGTGTTCCCCACAGCCTCTTTCCCCTGGTGGACAAGCAAATTCCCAATCACCACCCATTGCCACGGTGCTGAATTTGCTAGCAGCAGCAGTGCAGGGTGGCAGAGCAGCCGCAGGCTGCAGAACGTCTGGGGACAAGACCCATTGGCTAATTTCAACCCAGAAACATTAAAAAAAAAAAAAACTCAACTTAGAAAAAAATCCATTTGGGATATTCTCATCTAGACACTCAGACATCCACGCAAAAAAAATGAATAAATAAAAACAGATGTGCAACGATGTGCCTGTTGATTCACTACCGTGGTGGGTGTGAATAGGATCGTATGAGGAATTTTAAATGCAACAATGTTTACATTAACCTGTTTCCACAATCCGGAACAAAAATTAATTCTCCGTTGCTAGATGAGTAAACCTCCCGGCAGCCAGCTCGGTCCACTTTTGATTACCCAACACGGTTGGAACTATTTAATATTTCCGCTGTTAACTAAAAGTTGTTTTACAAAAAAGGTACACAATAGCGACAAAGCCTTCGCTTGGGAAAGAACTAACGGTCCCAAAAGTGGATTTGATTTTCCTTAAGAGCCACATTTTCTGGAAGTCTCCGAAATATCGGCATGTGTATACGAATATACACACGTTATCCTGAACGTGGTGAGAGGCTTAAAAAAAAAAAAAAAAAGCCAGCAAGGGCCAGGAGAGCCCAAGGAAGGCTTTTAGCTGCGTCCAGATGCTGTCTTGTGAGAAGTACTCCGCTTCAAGCCGCAAGACACCCATCTAAAATTCTAAGTCGCCCACTGCACAACGAAGTTTGGGGGGCCCCCGAGCTCTCGTCCAGGCTCCACCCTCCGCTCCGTCCCAGCTTCTGGCCGGGCGAGCCCGCGGCTCCCTGGGCCCTCGCCAGCCTAAGCCCCAAGCGAGAGCACCCCGTGGTGGGCCGGCGAGGGCTCCCCAGCCCGGCAGGCCCTCCGAGCTCAAGACAAATGGTGCAGCGTGCGCAAGTCTAGGCGGCGGCGTGGAGGAGGCGGGCGGAGGCGAAGGCTAGGGAAGATCTGAAGAGAGGTCAAACCATCGCTCATGCCGGCCTGAAGCGCCCGCTGACCCGGCCAGTAATAAGGCGCACAGGGCCAGCGCTATACCTATGGCAGCAAAAAAAAAAAAAAAAAAAAAAAAAGGCAATGATGGCGGGGATGGTGGTTAGAGAATCTCGAAGGGCCCGAAGCTGAAAGGTCTCTAACAACCTCCAGGGATCCAGAATGCCTCCAGCCCTCAGGATCAGCGTCCCAATAAACTAGGTCGCACAACAGGCTGGCATTTGGGGACAGAGGGCAGAGAAAGGTGGAATGCAGTGAGAACTCAAGCAAAGGAACGGGAAGGAGCGTTAGAGCGGTTCGGACTCCGCGGTTGCGGCGCAGCAGTGGCCAGTCTCAGCAAAGCGCCTCCGCGGCCCCCGGGGACTTCTTACCTGCTGGGTGAAGGCGGCCTGCGGGGAGGACGGCGACTTGCTAGGGGCGCCCAGGGCGCTCTCTGGTTTCGCGTCGCAGGGCAGATCTTTAGAGTCCGGGTCCAGGGGCGTGTGAGCCAGGCCAAAGGCCTCGTCGGAGTCGGCCATGGTGTGCCAGGGGCCCTGTGCCCGAGCAAGGTTCTGTTCTGAGAACGAAAAGCACAGAAGGAGAGAGAGAAAGAGAGAGAGCGCAGCTGTAGTGCCAGGAGGGTGCAGTTTGGCCTCCCAGCTTCCAACCACCACCCCTAGCTCCCAGCGGAAGGAGGGAAGGAGGCTACCGAAGGTGTTATTATGGTTACTATTACTGCCGGAGCAGCACGCTCGCTCGGCCTCTTGCTAAAGATCCGTGTCAGAACCAGAGAAGGCCAGGCCCCCATCTCCGCTGCGCAGGCTCTCCCCCGATAAGCCACTGCCCGTCAGGTTTGTCTGGACTTCTGGAACAGCCAATAAAGATAAGGCGTGGGTATTTTTGGAAGCCGTTGGGTATGAACCAAAAACAAAACAAAACAAAACCCGAGTGTCCTTTGGAGAATTTTTTTTTCCGTCTTCATCAAAATACAGGAAGGGCCATCAGAGCTCTTTTTAGGAAATTTCACCAGAGGGAACTTTTTCTGCAACAGGCACGCCGCCTGAAATAACCCGCCTCTTGCAAAACCAAAAAGGCAGGGCTAGGAAGGTGTGCCCGCGGAGAGTCCGGGTTCCAAAGATGAATCACCCGCATGTTGGCTCCCTGACGGCACAAATTTCTTCCAAATGAAAAGACGCTCCCTGCCCCCAAACTAAGGCAAGGTCTCTTAGAAAGTCACAAAGTGGCCCCAACCGTAGGCCCAACAAAGCGAGAAGCCACCGCGCTGCCTTTCGGTGGGAGGCGCGCCCGGTGCCGTTGCGTCCGGCCAGCGCTGCGCTCCCTGCCGTGTTCTCGGCATCCCAGCCCTGGGCCGAACGTCCGGGCCGAGCGGAGTCGCCCACGCTCAAACTACAGGCCCAGGCTCTGGCTTGACCAAATCGGGCCCCTTTTGAATCAGCAGGCTGCTGACGTTGAATCGGCGTTCCTAGGTCGCCGCAGCGCCCTGCACAGCCCGGTTCTGCAAGCCTGCGGGGTTGAAATAGGCTGCACAACGGTTGCAGCCCCGGTGCGCCCCCCGGCTCTCGGATCTCCTTCCAGTCTTTGCTGTCCTCTTAAGTGGGGCTCTTCTCCCCTCCCCTTCTTTCCCCTCAACACCCGGGAAGAGGCGGACTCGGGAGAGACGGTCCCCTACAATCTTAGCTACCCCTCAAGCAGAAGGCGAGAGCCCACCCTCCTCTGCCTGGGCCTGGCCGGAGACTTAGAAACAGGCCAAGAAGGAGCACTCTTGAGGCCCCACTCCCAAGCAGCTCCCTTGGTCGCGCCTTTGGAGTCTGGAGGGGGGCTGCGAAGGGAGCCCCGCAGTCCGCTCAAAACAAAAGAAAGCAGAGCTGGAGCCCTGCCTGCGCTCTCCCAGGCACCCCCGGCCGGCCGCAGGGGTAATCCCACCCCGTACCCTTGCCAGGGTTCCGGGGAGCTCGCGGCTGGCGGAGGCGAACGCAATGCGGTTTGACAGAACCAGGCCGCGCGTCTTTGCAGACCCCGCCGAGGCTCCTCTGGCCGCGGCCGCGCCTCCCGGGCTCCGAGCCGCGCAACGTGAGCTCCGGGCCGCCTAACGTGAGCTCCGGGCCGCGCAACGTGAGCTCCGAGCCGCCTAACGTGAGCTCCGGGCCGCGCAACGTCTCTGCTAGCCGCAGCCGCAGCAGCTCTGCACCCGGTAAGGCAAGGCTGAAGTCCGCCATGCGCGCCGCCCCGAGCAGCCCCCTGGCTCCCTCCCGAGCCTTCTGCGGGCCCGGTTACCTCGCTCCGCGAAGCCGGTGCATTCACCGCGGCCCCTCTTGCTCCTAGCAGTGCAGTCGGCGGCGAGGCGGGGGCGCAGGCATGGTGGGCTCCTGGGTTTAGGCGGGGAAGCTGCTCGCTCTTACTAGCAGTTGCCGCTGCTTGCCTGCACAAGGAGTCCCCACCGCTGCTGCAGCCTCCGCGCGACTGTCTACCTCCAGCACACACCTCCTCCGCTCGCCGCTGTCTCCCCGAGCACAGTCAAGTTGTCAGGCGCCAGACAGCTCCGCAGAACGGAATCCCAGGACCCCGGCTCCTCCCTTGCACCCCAGCAGAAACAAAGTTGAGAGGCAGGGAGCAGATTAGGGCATAAGTCCGGAGTCCTTTCTGAGCAAGGCTTTCTGGGTTAAAGATCCAGAATTGTAGGTAAAGTCTGTCTCTCTCTTTCTCTCTCTCTCTCTCTCTCTCTCTCTCTCTCTCTCTCTCACACACACACACACACACACACACACACACAAAGACAGAGAAACACAAGCCAACTCAGCTAGCTGGAAGCACTGACTCTGAGTTGCCTTAATACTTACAAAATACTGAAATCACTTATCCAACTAGCTTCTCTCTCTCTCTCTCTCTCTCTCTCTCCCCCCCCCCCGCTCTCTCTCTCTCTCTTCCTCCCTCCCTCCCTCCCCTGCCTTCCCTCCCCTCCTCCACCACCTATTCCACTAGCTTTCCCAAACACTCAACTCACAACAGTACTCTCCGATTTAAGACCCCTCTATCACTGCCCTTCTATCCACCTCCTCCTCCCCAGCCCCCATCCATTTGTGCTGCTTTGCACCAGTGTTGGCTGAAAAAAAAGAAGAAAAAAGCTGCAGAAATCCTCAACAACAGGACCAACTTCTCCCTGGGCAGCAGGGTATGAAACCAGTTGTCCTGAGAACAGAAGGTACCCCTTGTATGCACATGCATCTGCTGTGAGCTTCTGCCGGCCTCACCCACATCATCTCTCCAAAGCTGACCTCAGATGAAGAGATGCATGACCCTGCCGGGGCCGCCAAGTCGGCGCTAGCTGCCCTGACACTCATCACCCTACTTCCGCCCCCCACTCATCACCCTACTTCCAACAACTCCAGAGTAAAAGACTGGAATAACAAATGCCAAGACAACACTGTGGCCCCCATACCTCACCCATGGGCCCACCCATCAATCGGCTCAAGCTGGACCTGGAGGTGCACTGCAGGGCAGTACCCAGTTTTATAAAAGTAACCAAAGGACACTGGGCACTGGCCGTGGTGCTCATCTCATCTTCGATTGGGTTCCTCAACCCATCCTTCCTTTCTCTGAAATGTATTGCTTAGAGGGTGAGCGGAAACAAGGTCATCACCAGATACCTAAACATGGTCCAAAAGGTCTTAGCCTGAGCAACCCAGGCTGGAGCTCAGGAGTCTAGTTCTGCTTCCCGCCCTCGCCTCTGGGACCCCCTTCATCCTGTTCTCTTTGAGGGTTCTGTTCAGGGAGTTATCCCACAAGACGACATCTGGATAAAGGGACACAGGAAGGGAGGGAGAAGTGCCTGGAGGAGGACCTGGCTTTCCATGGTCTGGCCAAGGCCACCAAACCCAAAGTGACTGTCCCAAACCGGGGGAAAAACCAATCCCCTTCTGCTCCCTTCGCCTGGCAAGTTTGTTTCCACACAGACCTTTTTGCCCATGTGAGATTCTTTATGTATGGAAGCACCTCACCCTTTCAGAAGCACCCACTTAGAGAGAGGCCTCTGAAGGCTCCCAAATCCTGAGGTCCAAACCTGCGGCAAATATGGATGGCATGGAGATGAGCAGGGAGTCTCCACATCTCCTGGAAGGAGGAGGGGGAAGTCCAGAAAGACCTCTCCAATCCCTTGAAATACTCAGAGATTTGTGGATAAAATTAATTCCCATAAATAATTCGGAGGGCCCCTCGCGAAAGGCCAAATCCGGTCTCTCCCAAGTCCTAGCCCAGCCAGATTCGCTCAGTTCCTGCATTGCCGATGTCGGAGCCACCTAGCAAACTTGGGCAGATCCATCCCGACCAGGTGTATCGCTGGCTGCAAGTAGCGCAAAATGCAAGAGAATGCTCACTGATTTCGTTGGCGAACTGCAGTTAGGCGGGGTAGGAGAGACGAGGAAGAGGAGCCGTCAGAGACGAAGAGGAGAGGTCAGGTGGGAATCCAGGACCTTGGACCCGCGAAGTGCAAAGTGCGGAGGGAAAAAAAAACCAAAAACCAAAACAAACAAAAAATCCGCCGTTCCCTCTTTGGTTTAACACTCACCTGCACAAAGCCCGCCTCGGAACCAGGAGTGGAGCCCCGGCTCTGGAGAGCAGCTTCAGGGGGAGAAATGGGTAGAGAGCCCCCCAAAGAGACCCCTGCTAGCCCAGGCCTTCTTTCAGCGTCTGTCCAGAGAAGCCCGTACCGCCCAGCTAGAAACGGGCTTGTGGTCTCCGACAAATTAAATATTACTGTTTATTACCAGGCATACCCCCCCATAAAATAAAGAGGCAACCAGGCGATACCGACTATCTCACTAGCGCTGCACCTATAGGACTCGGAGACGTCACGAGTCACGCAACGCGCCCGTGGTGTCACGCTTGGCTGAGGGGCAGCGGCGGGAGGCTCATTTCTCTTGGTCTGCGCCTGATCGTCTACTCGGCCTTCTCCGCAACTACTTGTGCTGGACGCTGTGGCCCCCGGGGAATAAAGACAGAAATAAACAAACCCCTGCGCACTCCCTGGGGTGGGGTGGGGTGGGGGGGGAAACGGGAGTGGCAACCCTCGGCCAAAGTGGATTTTTCGAAAGAGGATAGGAGAGTGCAGGCGTGTGTTGGGGATGTCTCAGGGCCCAGTGGGCTTGGAGCCCGTCTTCAGGCTGTCTGGGAAAGGAATTTAATTTCTCTGAAAGATCTCCAGTATGAGAGACAGAAAGAGAGGAAGAAAGGGAGGGAGAAAGAGAGAAAGAGAGAAAGAGAGAAAGAGAGAAAGAAAGAAAGAAAGAAAGAAAGAAAGAAAGAAAGAAAGAAAGAAAGAAAGAAAGAAAGAGAGAGAAAGAGAGGAAGAAAGAAAAAGAGCAAAAAGGAAAGAAAAAATTGTTTTGCTTTGTTTTCCTCCCAATGCCCAGCGCTAGGGCGAGTATATACGTTGGAGCGCTTCTCCAGCTGGTTGTACCCGGGATGCGGGGACTCCACGTCCGGTTACAGACCTGTAGCAAAGCCTTGATGGGGTTATCGCTGACGCGAAGCCAGGCAGCGACTGGGAGGCAGGAAGAGAACTGCCAGTGAACTTTCCGGCTAAAAGAAAGGCTATTCCGACAGTGGTCTTCGAGTGGCCTGGCGGGGGCGGGGTGCGAGTAGGTGGTGGCGTGGGGGTGGAGAAGGTTGATTTCTGCAGAAAAAAATATCTTAGCGCCAGGGTGCACCGAGAGAGAAGACATTATTTTGCTCTGCACGATCGATCGTGGCTATTCTTTGTAGTCTGATCACTGGCTGGAATTTCTACACAGGGCCTCCATGGATGTGCGTAAGCTTTTGCGCGCAGCTGGAAACCCCGCTAGGTTCCATTGCAAAACGAACCACGTAGCTACCCTTGGTGCCCCCCGAGGGGGGGAGAGCTGGACCTGCCCAACACAGAACCAGTAAGCGCCCGGGCCTTCCGGAAGGGTAAGTTCCCCGCCTAGGATCCCGGGAGGGAGCCTTCTGAATCCAGGCTGGCCCCCCGCGGCTTTAGGAGTGGACGTCTGCTTTTGCGCACCCCGGGTCCCAGAGGACTGGCTGAGGCCTGGCCCTGCTCCAGGCCCGGTCCATGCAGGGCCTTAGCGGCTGAGGCCGTGCAGAGGCGCAGTGGGGCCGCGGCAGCTGCCGGAGCCAAGGTCAGGCCCGCGAGGAGGGCGGGCAGCGGCTCCCAGCGTCGGCTGCCGACGCTCGGGCCAGCGAGGCTGCAAGGCTGCTTCCAGCCGGGAGAAGCCAAAGCCCCCGGTGTCTGCCAGGCTGGCTCCCCTGCCGCTTCATTTTCGTTTCCCAAGTCTCAGAGTAACTAGCTCTCCCCAAGTCCGAGCCCCTGTTGGCTGCGGCGCTTACTCCCTCGGCTGTGAACGAGAGACCGGGAATCCCTGACCCAAGCCCCAGTCCGAGGAGCAGAGGCCCCGGGAGACCTAAAGGCCAAGGGTGGGCCAGCAACGAAGGCAGGCCGCACCAAGGCTTGTGTGGGGGGACTGAAGAATCAGAGCCAGATCGAGCTGTGCTGGTCTGGCGCCCTTCTCTCGCCCAGCAAATGCGAGCACACCGCAGCAACTACAACCGCTGGGAGCAGCTCCCGAAAAATTCTACAGGCGGCTTCCCATGCCCGCCCCAACAGACCCGAGCCCTGTGAGGGGCTCCGAGCTAGGGAGAGGCTGCGGCAGACAGAACCCACGCAGTTCCAAAGCCGCTCACAGCTTAAAGCTCCGCAGGCCCGCTTCCCTACTTTTGCAAAATCCCTGCGTGGCCTTTAACGTGACCGTGGACAGCAGAGCAAATGATTCTTATTTTTAAAAAGTGTGTGAGAGAGACACAAAAGGGGGAAAGGAGGCTAAGAAAGTCCCATCCCAGATCACATTGCTTTCCTCCCCAAAAAGGGTCCCCTGAAGAAGGCACCCCTTTCTTCCCATTTCTCGCCAGTGTCCCAGCTTCACCGGGACGCCTCTACTGCGGTGGGAAAGTAGAGGGAACTGCAGAAGAGGCTGGGAAAGTTCGCGAGCTTTGGGACAATAGCAGTGATGACCAAGAGTCTGCAAGGGAGAGGGTGAGTGGGAGGGTGAGAAATTCCCTGGCTTCTCAGGGGGCTACTTTCCCTCTTGCCCAGTGAAATCTGGCCCTGCTGGGCTTATTCCAGGACCTCGCTCTATCCCTGCTTGAGGTCTTCTTAGCTCTCCCACTGTGACCTGCTGTGTGCAGGAAGCCATTCCATGAGCTCCCCCAAAATGTTTCCACCCGGGGTTACTGTGGCCCATTGTCCCCGTTACATGCGGGCTGTGGCACAAGCTGTACTTTCCCAATACGGTTGCTTTTTTTTTGTTTCTTTGGGCATGTTGGTCCTGTCAGAAGCCCAGGTGAGG